GTTGTTTGTCTTGTGTCTCCTAGGGACCAAATCCTTTTTAAGTATGTGTTGTCGTATTCTTAAAACTTCTTTAAATCATTGGAGTCTATACGCTTCAATGCACGTTGTCGGTGCAATCATTTTTATGTGTTAGTTTCACTTAGCAGGGATTTCTGCCTCTGTTTCCGCCTTTTAGCAGAGTTTACATTGTGGCTTTTTTAGGAAGTCAGCTTTATAAAAAATCCTGAAACGCTGGACCTTATTGCAAACGAATTATCTATCAATCGCCAATTGCTGGCAAATGTTCTCACAACCAAAGTTACGGTGAGCATCTGTAATGTTGCTTTGACTACAACAACTGAATACTGTGTGCTTTATAACTTCATTATTGGAGGTTGGAGTCCCTGTGGCCAACTAAGCAAACAATTTGAGTGCTGTTAACCAACACTTTATATTCTCTTATTTCTGCTTACAATGGTAGATTGCATCTAATTAAGTATCGCCTCCCAAAAAAGACCCGAGAGTTGAAGCGTGGACTGAGACGTCCTACAATTACTAGTGGATAGGTGGGAGGGATTATTATTGTTATGGGTAACCTGTTTTGCGGTTCCACTTTGCATTGTAGGAGACACGAGCCGAAGCCGTACGAAGTCCAGTTAATCAGCAGCAGGCAAGAGTGAACAGAGACTCCATAGCAAAGTGTCTCTACTCAAAGTACTTTGAACTGCTGGTAGAAGAACTCAATCATCGTCTGGCCCCTCCGAGTGCCAGCGAGTTGGAAGCCTCACACAGTATATCCCTTCTCGACATTTATGGTTTTGAGGTAGATCACGTGATTTTTCTCATGCAACTTCTATTTTTCAGTTATAAGATGCATCACCAAAGAACAGCATTTGTGTTTCATAGTACCTTAATTCGACTCATAATAATGTCTCCGAAAACTAAATGAAGCAAGATTCGTCAATCCGCTTTATTCTGACGGTTTTAGTGACGGTTTATATTTTTCTAATTTATTCCTCTGCCACACTTATATGGAAAGCCAACACAATTTCTTCTACACATTTCATTTCGTTGCAAATAAATTGGCTGGCCATTTTCCATCTTAGAACTTGCCATCAAACTCCTTGGAGCAACTGTGTATCAACTATGCAAACGAAAATTTGCAACTCTTCTTTAATCGCTATGTTTTTGAACTCGAACAAGCTGAGTACAACAATGAAGGAGTCAGCTGGAGCTACATTACATTTCCGGACAACAGAGTGATCATCAACCTACTCACTGGAAAGCCCGATGGCATTTTCCACATCTTAAATGATGAGGCATATCTCGGTCAGGTGCGTCCTCCCTTGCACAGTACGAAGTCAGATGATGGAAAGGACGTTGCTTGATTTTTATAGCTTCTTCTTGGTGGCCAAACTCGCAGTAACCAACTTAACTCGCACTCTTGACTGCATAGGTGGAGTTACTTTTTGTTAAAGCTCCAGTCTTGAGTTACCTCACTGGGATAGTTTAGTTTCAAATTCTCGCTCCTAATATGTTATTTGATCACCGGACCCATTAGATTGATACAATTGTTGAAGTGTACTTTGCAGCTCAGCATTCCTCGAAGCGCATCAAACGGTTCGCGTTTTGCTAACAGGTACTGTTTTGGAGGCCAAGAATACTAGGAAATCATAAGGATACCAAGCTTTTTTACAGAAGTAGTCGAATTAGCACGGCGTTGAGCTTTCTAAGTCCGGTAGCATCAGCCTGGTGCTAAATGGCCGTTTCGATTGAACACAATGCCTATTTCTAAATGTGGTGCGTTAAAGGTTTACTTTTGCGTCAGGGCCTCGATAAAAAGCGATGCTCTTTACAGCATCTTCTGGCAAAAGTTCCCGCCATCTCTCATTCGATCTGAAGCCCAGGGCTGGACGCCTTTCGGCAGCAGATCAGTAGGTCTGCGAAGGGGAAATGAAATTGAAAAAGTGGTTTCATCATTTGTGAATTGTTTTAATTTTACCTTGCTTCGGATTAGTAGATACGTCCACTTGGTTTTGTCTGTGTATAGAGTTATAACGTCGCGTAGATTGATGGAAATTACCCATGTGCTTGGTGTAATGGACTATGCAGGTTTGAGCATTGGCACTCGCCTCCACCTGCAAAAACGCGTTTAATGATCCTCTCAATTTCAGCTGCACGGCAGCGG